CGGAGCTAAGCTTAAATTGTGCCGTCTCACTGCATAAACCTTTTTCAATTGAATAATGATAAAGGAATTAAAAATTAAAATTAAAATATGAGATGAATAACATAATATATATTATGTCATTTAAAATATTAAAAATAAATTTTATATTATTTAATAATTAATTTTTTATTTTTAAAATTAATAATATTGTATATATATCAATTAATTTAATAATATGATATAAATCACATCATTAATCTTAAATTTTTACTCTAAATTTTTGTTCTCTATCATTACTCTTTTTAATTTATTTATGTTGTAATTTCCTTTTATTGCTGAAAACTTTTCATTTTTAAATAGATTAAGTTTTGGACATAATTTCAGAACAATATACATTTTTTCAGGGTAAAGAGGATCTTCACCCCCACCTCCTCGATCTTTCCCATTATTTACCACAAAAAAATTTATTAATTAACTAATGTTACTAACATATAAAAACAGAAAATAAGATATAAAGAAAAACCAAATCGGGCTTTAAAAAATTTTGAAAATCAAAATTGGGCTTAGAAAGCCTAAAAGGAAACCTCGTTTTCCTTTTCACCCTTTTTTGTTTTTTTAATTTGAATTTAGAAAAATCTGGAATCGGACACAGCGAGGCTGCGAGAGAAATCCATGCTGAATAGGAAAAAGGAAAAACTTGGAAATGGAAGAAAGTGGTGAAGGAAAGAGGAGAGGAAGGCAGCAAACCACAGTTGCAGTACAGGAAGGGAGGATGAAGAAATTAAAGAGGGGAGGAAGAAGTTTGAGAGTTGAAATTCGTCACTGAAAAAGGTACAGTTTCTGTTCCATTTTGCTTATTCTCTTTAATGTTGATTCATAGTTTATTGGGTTGTATGATATTGGGATTGGGTGCAATTCTTTTAATTTGATGTTAATGTTGTTTGTTTAGGGAAAGCAATGCATAATTCATTCTAAAAAAATATAAAAAATTAGAGGCCATTATTCCAATTTCCAAACCCCAAGCTCAGTTGAAACAAACAAATTTCTTTGTTTCCTTCCCACTTGTAGAATAAAAGGAAAGTAAACTGTAGGGTTAGGTTGATTGCTAAGCAATTGTTATTTTGTAAGTCAGTTTTATAATTCATTTTCATGTTCAAATTTTGGCATAGCATTTAACAAAATTAATTTACTTAAATATAGGTAGGTGTACACTTGAGATTTTCAGGAAAAGGAGTACTCATGAGTTTTCGAAAGCTGATCCAAAGATATTTTACCATAAAAAATATATAAACTGAAAAAAAAAAAAACATGGTGAAAGAGAACAAAGAAAACATTACGGGTGCTTGATTGGGGTAATTTTTTTAAATTTTATCTTTTATAAAGTTATTTATGGGTTTTTACATATTAATATTTTAACAAAAAAAGAATAACCATGATATTTTTTA